CCAAGACTTTCTCTGCACTGCAAAAGTCTGACACTCTGAGTGGGAAATGTATCTTTTCAGGAAAGTCACCAGCCTTTTCTGTCAGGCTTCTTCTTATGTTACTGACAGGAATTTCATTCCCTGTATGTCAGTTCATGCTAACTTATTTCATTGTGTAGGTGAGCATCTTACTTCATAATGCCACACATAGGGTCAGTTAATTCTGACAACCTGATGCTGTCAGAATGTCTTGAGGCTTATGAACAAGGACACTGAGCCTAGTGCACTCACTGGTCAGTGCAGGAAACCCTGTGAGCCTCTACTTCCAAGTGACACGTGGTATTAAATGACTGGCAGAGCTAAAGGCAGGCTGTAGAATGGAGGTTATCAAAATTCATTAAATAAGATTGACAGTTGCCTGCTATGTGAAAATCGATGAGTAATGCTCACTGATGTAATTTTCCTCCATTTCCTGCAATTTTCACATTGAATATTGCAATTAAACCACATCATCAAAAGACTTATTCCTACCAAAAATACCATGCCATGAAGCTTCATCATACTAGCTGTATATCACATGACTTCTGTCCATAACTTTGCCTTTTTGGTCTTTGAAAAATTGCCTAAAAAAGGATGCATTCTGTCTCCTAGCAATTCCTGTTTGAAGTACGGAATAGCAAGTGTTAAGGTACTGTGAGTGTGCAAGAAATAGCTCTGTAAGTCCAGAGGTAAACAAGAAGAAACAAATTTGCCCTACAAGCACAATCTCATTTTGAAATGAATGTGCATTAACCTATAGTTAGGTAAAATCATATGTAAAGTGTTTGTCTTACTAAAGGGTGTTGCTAAAGAGGCCAGCTTGGTGATAGCTGAGGTGTTTCTTCGTGTCTCACCGTTACTTAATCGGAAATGGTTTGATTATTGCAGAGCACACTTACAAGTACTGTGGCTTGGGAACATTGATTTATTTGCTTGTTTTACGTCTGAACGTTTCCCAGGGAATCAAGTACTGTCATTTATGTGGGGAAAAAAAAAAAAAAGAGAAGAGCCCAGAGCCCAGCACAGAGCATTGATGGGCTCCTGTTGGAAGTAGAGCTGGCTGCACTCCTGTTGTATGACCCATTCTTAAGACCCTGTTTTCACCCATCTGCCACTTTGCTGAACTGGAATAACTTATGTTGAAATTTTTCTTCAAGTGATGTATTTGGAAAAACCTCTCCCATAGTTTGGAGTGAAGTGTAGGAACCTCCAGGTTAAGCGACACTGGGGCCACGACTCTTGGACATACACCATCAATTCCCCTTACTCACAGTTTGAAGTAATCTGGATCTTGCCTTGTATGCCTTAATGGTGCACCCCTTTTGAAAACTGTGCCTCCACAAGTGCTATGACAGCTGTGGTTATCTAAAGCAGCTGGGGTGCAATTTCTCCTCAACAAATAGAGGAACTGATGCATAAGGAAAGCTTTTTTAGTTAGAAATGGTGACTACGTGTGATCTGTAATGAAACCAAAAATGTTTCCATATTACTGCAGTAATGACACCAGAAAAACTAATTCAGGCTTACTTTTTGTTGAACACATGCATTTTTGATTAACAGTTACATTCCCACTACGACTGTTTTTGTCAAAAACTAGGGGACCCAGAAACTAATCTTGTGCATTTGCTGTTTAGGTGTTGAAAGTAACAACCTTTTATCCCTGTTCCCTCAACTCTGTCACCTTTTTACCTTGATTTTTGCCTCCTTTCTAGCTTGAATTCTTCTGTCACACCAAGGCGGAGCTGAGAAAATTGAGGTTTGCTTGTTTCTACTGAACATGGGACAGAGAAAATGATTTTGCAATGTGAATAATTTCCATAGAGCCTAATTTCCTTGCTGGCTGAAACCAGCAGCAGGGACTTCACAACTTTCCTCACACCCAAACTTCCAAACATCCAGTGATAGGTATCTACCCTTTTCATCCAGCCACATGGTGTTTGGAGGTCAACAGAGTACCTTCTCCACGTGAGAAATGATCCAATCTTGTCATGGCTTCAATGCCAGCAGTTCCCTCTGTCAGGTGTGATGCTCTCTTTGCATCAGGACAGCCCCACGGGTGGTGTGCAGGCTATGGGGACGCACACTGGAGAAGGCCGCTGGTGCCCCTGGAAAGCGTGACCGTGGAGCACTAGGCCCATGTGAGTGATGACCTTCAGATTATCAACCTCAGAAAGAGGGTCAAGTTGAAACTCGGGTAGAATAACTCCCACATTTACTGTCTGAGCCTTGAAAACTTCTACCTTGCTTGAGAAGGGCAATAATAATCTGATCAAGGATTACCAAGGAAAAAAGAGAAACAAATAGTGTTCTGATCCACAAGGCACCTTTCAGCAGTTTTTTCAATAAAACATGATAGATTTCCCAGGAGCCTATATTCAAGGAAGGGAATACTTCTGTTGAAAATACACCGCAGTATGGTTTGAACTAAGAGGTTTGTGAAAAAGGGAGTCAATGTGGGCATTAAAAACTTGTCATCAGTTTGGTTTTTTGTTTCTTCCTTCAGGAAAAAAAAAGTCTGACACGATCGAACACAACTTTAACCACCACTTCTCTATTTTCAGGGATTAAGCATCTGAAGAGTCAGAGTGATTCAGCATTTCCAGAGGAAGAAGAGGGAGTTAGTGAAAGGGAAGAGGAGTGGGGCCATTAAAGAGCGTGGGGCTGCCTCGAGCCCCGTCACGGAGAGTAACTGAACTGCTCAGCCGTGCGTGCGTCAGACCATCCGCCAACGCTTGTGTCCCCGCACCGCAGCGCTCGGCGTGCCGGCGGCACCGGGGCTCCCTGGGGATCACCCTCAGCGGGGTTCTACAGCCACCTGCAAATGTGTTCTGTGGTCCCTATACCAGAAGAGAAAACAGTTATTTTAAAGTCATTTTTCTTTCTTTTTCTATGACTTAGAAATGTAATTTGCAAATGTGTTAGCATCCTGACATCAGTACTGCCAGAGCTTAACTACTGCGTGTGAGCTGTACTCTAAGACCTGTTGTAAATAAAACTGATTTCAAAGCTACAAAATAAATTAATGTTCATTTAGACAAGACTGTATATTGTACAGTGGGTTTGTCTAGTGTGCAGAGAAATGTTTGTCTAAAATGATCCTTTCAGTTAAGGGCAGCTTTTACCAGTATTGTTAGTTGGGGTAATGGGGGTAGAAACAAAATAAGCAAAGGTGGCTCAGCCTAGGGAAGAAGGATGCAGTGACACTCTTCCCCGTGTTCCCTGGACATGCAACACTCAAAGTACTTGTCTTGCTTTTGGTCTGATGCTGCCTAGTCACAGCAGCCGAGCCCATTTCTCTTTACAGAAAATCATTGCTGTCTGGAGGCATTAAGAAAAGGTTCAGTCTGGGAGACAGAAGAAACACAGGAGTGTGCGAGGCCCCTGATCAGGGTCCCACACACCAGCTGAGCCGCAGGAAATGCTGATACTCACCTCCATCACCCACAGCAAGTACAGGGTGCAGCCTTCTCTGAAAATGAGGGCCAGGTGCCCCTGCTTTCATCACAGGTTCAGCCAGCAAATGGCAGCATATCCAGCTGCAGTGTTGGTCGTATGTGTCCAAGCCCTAGGGTTTTTTGTTGAAGTTTGGCACAGTTCATACCAAGATTTTAATTTTTGAGACAATGCAAACTCTGTGGCATAAAATGAAAAATTCTTTGTCATGAATGGCCAATTTCTAAACCAGTTCACTGTGGTTTTGTATTAACTGTTGGCCTCCTGATACAAAGTTTTAACTTCCCAGTCTCTTTGAAAGGGCTGAGCTAGCAGGGAAAATAAACAAACAAACAAACAAAACAACAACCAAAAACCCACAACAAACCAACACCAAAACCCAAGATGAATTGTATGAAAACACAGAGCCTTTTCTCTGTGCCTTGCATGGTGATTTCACTCTCAATCTGAGGTCTTCCATGAAGACCTGCTGAGAAAAGGATGTGTCAACAAGTGTTTCTTTATATTTGGGAGCCACCTTTTTTGCCCTCCATCTATATCACTGTATCTGTCCTCTTTGTTGCCATTTTCTGTAGAAACATTGCAAACAGGATCCACAGCTCCAGCTCAGCATGGCTATGCAAGACGGACTGGAAGAAGGATTCTTTGGTTGTACAGGAGCAGCCATGGGACTTACAGGGCCAAGGGCTTTTTATGCCACAAATACAAAAAGAAGGCAGTGACTTGTCAGAAACCATTTGAATGGAACAAAGTTCAGACTGGAAAGGTATCAAGAGGAGCTGGGCTGTGGGCGCAGCTGTGCCACAGCTTTGGTTTCACACAGCACCAGGCTCTTCACATAGTCACTCGTTGCCACATCACTTACAGTTGTAAAAGTCATCGGTGTTTCACCCGGACCATCAATCTGTGTCGCTTGCTAATAAAGCACTTTTGATATTAATGGCTTTTTGCTGGTTATTAGTACCTATAGGCTTCAGATGAGGACTGTCTAGGACTTATGGGCAAATGAAGAAGTGTGTGTGATTTATAATACTTGATACCAAGACAAGGTTATGAACCATTTGAAATCTCAACATTTTAAATGTAACACAAAACACCTATAAGAGATTGGAGAATTCGTCACTGAACGCCCTGTTTCGGGATGACTGTTGGAATTGAGGATGATTGCACTTTAAAAATGATAGGAAAAAATAAATTAAAAAATATATTTAGTTTGAACTGGAGCTGAGTACTTCCAGGATTGTCACTGCAGCAACCAGAGGACAACAATTCAGCTTTACAGCTGTGACCTGGATGAAACACCAAGGTCCGATATGAGCCTTAGATAGCCATGCCAGTATTTAGATGAGTCTCTAAATACAGGTCTTATCATCTCCCCATCTCTAAATATTCCAGCTGTGTTTTATCATTTTAAAAGCCTGTTTATTTCTCTCTCTCTTAACCCAAGGTTACGCAAACAGCACGTCTGCGTACAGGAACAGACTCCCCCTTTCTGGCAAAGGGACAGAACTTGTTGCAGAAATTTTACTATATATCCACCCTGACATAATTTGCTGGTGGGTCCTTATCTGAAGGACAAAGTCAGGAGGTGCAGTTTTTATACATCAGCCATTTTTAGCTTAAAACGATAAGCAAACCATGTTTGTCTGATCTTCCACTTGTGAGGCAGTCAGCAAATGGCGCTATAAGGAAAGGATCAATGAAACAGCAGAGCCCAGAAGAAAAGTGCTTGCCACGAAGCAGAGCTGAAACACTGCAGTGGATTGTCAGTGAACCCCAGGACAGAAATACCTGGGTGTGGGGAGATCAGAAAGGGATGTCAGAAAAAGCAATCTGCTTAGGAAACTAGGTCTTTTCTAGGTTTTCGTGCAGGCTCCTGACATTTAAAAGCAGCAGCCTCAAAGAGCCTCTCATATGCTCTGGTGTGTGATTGGAAGCTGATTGTCTCAGAGCATGGTGAGCTCCACAAAAGCACACTTGAACGACATAGATCTCTTTGTGGGAGTCAGTGGTCAATCACTGTTGCCCAACGTGTTTATGTCACCAAAAGCATGGATAAAAAACCAACAAAAAAATCCATTAATGTCACCTTTTGCTTTAGTTCAGACTAATCAATGGAGGATTGAGACAGTAGACAAAAAGCTAGCGAACACCAAGTGTCTCAAAGAAAATGCCAATATGGAAATGTCTTAAAGGAAAATGGTTATGACTTGTTCCCTGTTTGAGGTCTCCTGTTTCACAACACCTGCACCTGCCAGGGACTCTTCCAGGTTTGGTAGGAGCAGGATTTTTAGATACAGATTCTATAAGTCCATTTTCCACAAACAAACTGATGGAAAAAGAAAGAAAAAACCCCACCTGGGCAAGTAATAAACACAGTTCTTTCCTAACGAGCAGACCTGATTCGTGTCTTTCTCCCCTTCCTCCCTCCTTGCTCTTAGACCTACTGCTTTTCCATGCTGTGGCACATGTGCTGCTGTTCTTGCTTTCAAGGTATTGCAGGAAATGTTATTTGCAGAACTGAAAGGAAGCCGTCTCCTCGGACTGATCTCAGTCTTTTCCCAGTATCCCTTAACTCATTAATGTACAGTGGTTTAAAGAGGTTTTGGTATTGCATTTTACAGCCTTGTTTCTTTTTCTTATGCTACGCTTGTTATTCTGTGACAGGTTCTTCCCTTCAGAGAGATTTATTGAGACATTGTGCTAATAAGTTCTTTGGAAAAAGTCCATGGTTTGACTTACAGGATAGTATATGTTGTTTATTCTCCAGGTGCAAACCCAGATAATACTTAAATAGATACAAAGTAAAAGCCAAGATCTAGAGTTCTTTGTAAAGAACAATTTCCACTGAAGTCAGAGGAATTTCGTGTGAGAATGGCCACAGGTTTTGGCCAAGAGCACACTTTCTTCTGGGGAAATATCATATGTAGTGCACAGGAAAGCTTCTCTTCTCCTGCTGTCAATTTAATTACTGACCTCCCTGCATTTTTTAAAGATTGCCAAAAACGCTGCTGAAGTGTGCAAAACCACTGTCCTTTCATAATGTCATTATTTGACCCCACTAGCGTAAACTGAAAAATCATCATTAGCACTTGCGCTGCTGGTGTTACTGAAGCAGAACGCCAACGCCATTGGGTTGAGGGCGAGGGGGGCTGCGGGCAGAGGTCCTGCTGCCCGAGCCTGGGCCAGGGACTCCCACAGTGTCCAGGGACTGGGCCAGTCAGTAAGGAAGGGGCTTCCAGGCCACCTGCACTTCCTCTAACCGACTTTTGCTCTTTTAAAAAGTGTATTTCTTTATTCCCCAAGGCAGACTGTTGAGCGGCTGATCAAGCTCTCTCCAGAGCTACTCTGGGTAGGCTGTCCTGCTGCAGGGGGTTGGGGAGGGACCTAAACGGGGCTGCTTTTGTACCAGCCTGGCAGCTGGCACCGTACAATGAAAAGTCCCTAGCTCAGTGCAGGGTGCCCCCCTCATTCCCTTTCTCTTTCTGTCAAGAGAGAGGCTCTTTGTGAAGAACCGTGTTCCTGCAGCACGTCAGACATCATCTCTAGCCCTTGGGGTACAATGGAAGGGCATATTTAAAACATATTGTCTCTAAAGCTTCCTTTCTTCCTCTCCTATGGCATCCACATTGGTGCTCAGGCCCCGCGTTGTTCTCTTTTTTATTATTTTTATTTTCTTTAGCAGCTCCGTGCAATGGTGAGCTGCACTAAGAGTTTCAGTTCTGTTTGTTCCTGACATGCGCAATTATATTTGCCCTTTTCATGCACAGCGTCACGCTTGGCAACAAAGTGCATGTAAATGTCTCCTATGCTTTGCTGTATTCTCTCCTTTGTCCTCCCATGAGGATACCAGCCCTTTGGGCAAATCTCGAGCAAGATATTTGTGCACCCTCTACTAAACCTCAGGCCACTCGGTAAGACACTACTAATCTCAGCGAAATGATGGACTGTGCATCATATTGCACTGTTTGTCACAAATATGCTACCATTTGTTCCAGCTGTGAACTGCTGAAGCACCCCAAACAATAAAGGCAAACGTTTGTTTCTGACTGGAAAGGAAAACAGTTCTCTCTCAAAGGAGAGAGGTCTCAATGAAAAGGAAGCACAGTTTCAATAAATGATTTTAAGATGGCTTGAAGTTGGGTAGTGCTTTGTTCAGTCATTAGACCCTCAGGGTACTTTGCACTGCAGAAGTTG